TCATCTACAGAAGTTATGAATTTTTTTATGTTAAAAACTCGAAAATGTCCAAAAATCACTACTTACACCCGCCACCAAGCACTTTTTTTCAACAGATTCCTCCTTTCCTAATAAGCATTTCACGTACAAATACCTCCTTTGCTTAAACTAACCTCACTGTTGATTTTTCTTCTGCTTTTGGTGAAGGGGGTCACTTTGGTCCCCGCTCAGAGGTGAAAGGGAGGGGGGGGGGGGGTGAAAAAATTTTCACACACTATCGCACCTGTGCTCGGGACAATGCTCGCTGCTTTACACCTTCGCGAAGAGACGCTTGCAGGGAGATTCAAGATTAAAAAAAAGAATTTTTGATACTACTTTTTTTAGATTGCGATGCGCTAAAGAGTAGCCACAGATTTCTTCTCAAAGGAAATAGAAGAGCTGGTGAATTGTGGAAAAATCTTGTCGTCCCAAATTTTACTCTCCATAGTCCTAGAATACGAAGCTATCTTGCTAAGCAGATGTGAGTTTCGAATTCAGCAGGTCGCATAACCTCTACGAGCAAGTTTTCCGATATGTTCGGGTTATTTCATTTTTTCTCGTTTTACGCTCCGGAAGCTCGCCGATGGATTTTAGTATGTTGATGCTCTTGAATTGTAAGGAAACTTCGCTTATAGAAGTTTTCAAGCACGCTCTTTACGAAAATCATGGTTTTTGAGGATTACACGGTCTTTTGGAGGGATACGGTGAGGTGACGGTAACTGAACAACGAAAGTGCGTAAGTTTTTGCCCGCACTTCTCGCGTATCTGTCAGAAAACTTGCCTGCTTGCTTTTCTGAGTCAAAGTTACTAAGGACCGTGCATCGAATGTGCATAGCTTAGTCTCCAATCTAAAAAAAATCGCCGAGTTACGAGCCTACGAAAACACCTCCTCATGAACTTTGCCCAAAATGTAAGTTCGCATATTTCGTCGAAATTCCATCTTGAGTGCTTATAGAACACGGTTATCAAATTTTGACATCCTTAATGGATCTTATTGTGTCAGATTTGGTAGTTTTTGCGCTCTAGCCACGAAATAGCTTTGATATTCAATTGAGCAGCTGAAGCAGACGCAAGCACCATATTCAATAAGTGTAACTCATTGGGCAAAGCAAACATAATATACGAAATGCGAATGTCATATCACTCACTCAATCACTCACGGTGGAATTTCAACGAAATATGCGATCTTTACATTTTGGGCAAAATGCATGAGGACGTGTTTTCGTAAGCTTGTAACTCGGCGATTTTTTTAGACCGAAGCCTGATTCATGCACCATTCGATGCATGGTCCTTAGAAAAGAAAGCAGGCAATTTTTTTTGACAGATACGCGAGAAGTGCGGCAGATTTACGCATTTTCGTCATTCAATTACAGTCACCTCACCGTATCTCTCCGAGAAGACCCTGTAATATTCAGAGACTTTGTTCGTAAAGAGCGTGTTCGAAAACCTCTGGAGCAAGGTTTCCTTTCAATTCAAGAGCATCAACATTTTCACCAAAATCCATCGGCGAGCTTGCAGAGCGTAAAACGAGAGAATATACAACACTTGGGTGTTGATGTTCGCTCCATGTTCATTTTTAGCTGAAGGCCTGCACTAAACTCTCACCGGGCAGCTCTCGGCATGGATGATTGGTGGCCGAGCAATCACCCGCGAACTTGCCGATGCAATTGTCTGAGTTGCTGTACCATTTTGAATACTTATGGGGGAACACTCCCCCCCCCCCCCATTATCACAACATAAGGAATCTACGGTGGTCAACTAGTCTTATGGCATAACTTCATTGGGAAAGCAGCATCGATAAAGTTTGGCGGTTTCCATGTAATTATATCAAACAGCAGTGACATTTTGTTGAAATAACGAGCGTGCAAGCATAGGTACAGTGATAACATGCTGGTGGGGCATAAAATTTAATTGACATGCATGTGGACAAAAAAATGTTGTAAACGACTCAATCATTATGGGTTGCGATGATGGCCTCAACGCTATTCATGAACGCGAAAGGAAAATAGAAGAACGCTCGTATCTCAGAAGAAATGTTTTTGGGCACGTCCTTCCAGTTATTTCTTTTCCGCATTATTTATGAAGCTTTATTTACATAAACAAAGCCCACTGCTAGCTGTGACTTCAAAGTAGTCCTTGAAAGGAGAGGAATTGAAGTACTGACCCGGTAAAGCGAGTCACCGAGGTCTACAAAGTTTCGATTTTGAAAATTTATTAGGATTTCACTGTTAAGGGAAAAGATATGTCAAGATGAGCGAATTGCTTGTAATCATACGGTACGCCTGCGACTGTCAATGCGCCATATTTAACACAGTGACAACCGCTTGACACACCATGTGCGTCAAGCAGTGACTACCACGTGGGACCCAAAACATGAACTTCGTTAAAATGAAGACTATCCTAGTATAAACTCATTCCAAAAGTTTTCTCTTGTTGTGAATCTAGAAGTAACCTCTATCTTTTTTGTCAGCCTTCCACAGCAGTTGTAGAGTATACTGTAGATGGCATTATGCGTGATTTTATCTGAAAAATGACGACTGCTCCGTGAAAGGTTTTGGTCTCAAGAGGTAGACAATATAAAGTTTGCGTTGTCTTCAACGTATTAATTTTCCAAACCTGTGTGCTCTTCGATCAACCTGAGTGGAAAATCGGATTTTGCAGTTTCTAACGTTCTTCACAATTTTTGCTGTAGTAGAATAACTAGGGTATTAAGAGATTATGGCCCAAGTAAAGCTTGGACTGTCACAACTAACGTTCATATTGGCCTTCCTGAAAAAAAAACTTTGAAAAGACGCATGAATAATTGTGCTTATTGGAAACCCAATCCTTATTAATATGTTCTGGAATCTTTCTCTGAATAAAACTTAGAAAAAAACAAGCCAAAAGTGAACGAAACAACACTTGAGCGATCACTCTCCTACCAAACCGTAATTGAAGTGAAAATAGGAATAACAAAGTGGATTTCGAAGAATACGATGTTTCGCATTTGATCAATTCCATAAACGGCAACAACTCGTAATTGCAAATTTTGCAGGATCAGCGTTTATGACACGTAAAGCATAAATATTTACGAAAACATAATCGTTTATTGGTCTGTACTGCAACGTGGCCAAATTTGATGGCAAACTAGCTATATTGCAGAAAGAGATTAGCAAAAGTTATAGATAGTTATATGCTGATTTCGATAACCCTTTCAAAAGAAATAACTGTAGACTAGTATTCGTTACTTATTAACCTTTATAATTGGTGTTACAGAGCATTTTTTACCGCAGCATCAACGTATTTATAGGACTCCTCTACAGCAAAATTTGTGCCATTGCTTCTTACATTCCTCGTTTCAATACTTCACTTTCTGATTTTTGTAAAAAAAGTGAACTTTATAAGTTACAACGTCTTTTGCTAACATGAGCTTGCTAATCCAGAAGTCATATGAACTAAATGGGGTGAAAATTGCGGTCGGCATCGTAAGGTGTCTGAAACTGCAAAAACTTAGGGAAAACTCTAGCAGAAAAAAGCTGTAATGGTTCAGAATTTCGAGTCTTGAAAAGCATTTAAGATGTGTAGATGAGTACAGATGCAAAGCTCGTTTATACTTTTCTTTGAGGGTTGAGTTTTACCTGTTAGGTTACTTCCACTAGTTTTCGCCTATTGTTAATCATCTATTGGTTCAACATGTGCTGCTTTTGAATTGAGGTGTATCTTCAGTTACATTAGGAAATATTTTGTCTGTTAGTAGTCAACACAAGAGGTTAGCGCTGCTCAGTCAGACTTTCCATGATGATCCTTCACAATCAACAGAAAGCTAAAAGTGGATGCACATTGCGCCGAGAATTACTGGGATGTTTACAGTTTTGCCTTATACGAAAATTATATCGACAGTGCTATATAGAAAGCCACACCATGGAATTCCTTCCATGTTGAAACCCTCATTAGCAACAAAATAGGTGTTTATCTTGAAGTAAACGATCGATGTCTCACATTTCCCATAATGTATAGTACAAGACGATAAAATTGCTTTATAGAAAGCCACACCGTTGAATTCTTCCATACCGAAACCCTCATTAGCAAGAAAATAGGCGTTTATCTTAAAGTACAGTCGATGTCTTACATTTTCCATACTGTATAGGTATACAATAATAAAATTTCACACAAATTCGTTCAGCGAAAGCTTCATAACACACTTATAAAAGGACGAAAGCAGACGAAGCCACATAGCAATATGGCAGCACTTGAAGAACACTTCATCGTCACAGCGGTATGTCGCATTTAGCCTTGCTTTAAGACAGCTACTCCTCACTCTAAGTGAGTATTATTAGTTAATATATTTGAAATAAAGTTAGGGTGAAATTTTTGAGAGAATGCTTTAGAACGCTTGCTTTACTTTTTTCGTATCCCACGGTACTCTTCATGAGATTAAATCAGTCAAACATTTTGTTACGAAAGGATGTGCGGAATGTTAAACGAAAGTACCCTATCAAATTAACTGTTAGTACCCTACATCTTCTGCAATTCCTTGAAGGTGATGCCTTGAAGTCTACATACATTAAATAGACCAAAATTCCATGGAAACTCGATTATCTATAGCTGAGCGACTTCGCTTACCAAATCCAGAAGTTTGAACAGCTAGTACTTTTCAGTGTATTTAGGTAACTTCTGAAATTTTACTGTAGCGATCGTCTTCAAACCTTTATCTTTTAACATATTCGTCGCCTCAATCCTGAACGAAAGTTTTTCAAATTGCGGTTGCAGTTGTTCACAAGCGCAACAACACAATCATAACAAAAGCTCAGATGCACATGATGAATTCTAGTATGAGCATGGAAGAAGAAAATAAATAAACTAAAAAATTTTGTTTAGTTATGGTTGTGCTCGATGTTTGCGACTACACAACAAGCACGTTCGTACAGTAATTAAGAGGAGAGGTTTGATTATCTCTGCTCAAAGTTTCAGTTTCATGGCATAAAAACACATCTTGCTTTCAGAGTGCGACAATCACGATGACTACTTAATTGATTCTACCGGCAGAGACATCATCTTAGAAATCCACAATCAGAAAAGGTAAGTTCGAATCAAAAGTGATACTCAAGAAAATCGTCGTCAATCAGTTTTCCGCTTTTGCAGCGCTTTCGCTACATAGCTTTATTGCCCTGTACAAAAACTGATTTTATTGATTCGGTAATTCTGACTGAAAAGCTAGTGCTTAAGGCAGCTCAATGTGTCAACTTAAAATTTATCCTCAACTGCCTAACTTCATTCGATAACGTTATAATCGTTTCTGCTTGCTGATTATAGCTTAGAGTGCTATGCAAAAGTTCACAGAGAAGCACACATTAACCATGTAATATCATGAATGATAGAGCACACCTCAAAAGGTTTGTATTTGATACTGCCTGAATGTGTTGTGATGTGTGTACATTCGAGTAGATTTCCCTTAATATAGTGTGTGTGCACAGAATGTGAAATGCGGTAAAATTTGCGCGTGAACAAATAGTTTCGACTGTGACGCCGGTCAATTGCGGGCGCAAAATGCCGGCAGTACTGGTGTGGCTACTTCTTCATGCGCAAATTTTACCGCATTTCACATTCTGTGCAAGCACACTATATTAAACGGAAAATCTACTCGACTGTTTCCCCTATTTGTTCGATGAGCATATACTTGCAAGGAGAAATGCCCATGATCTCTATTATGGTGATGTTGTGGTTAGCGCAAACAATTCTGAAAATACACTAAGTATAAGTACTAGCTGAGATATTCCATGTTAGAAGAGCCAAAGTAACTCTGTTTTTTTGACGTCAGATTGTACTCATGCATCATGAGATGTTCTTGCCTTATGACAGTTGTACTCTGTAATTAGAACATGTATGGTCAGCCGATAAACAAAAGTTGAGAAGTCGTTTGCAGATGACTGTATAAAAGTGATAGCGTGCTTTTCAATTTAGACAGTCCACAGCTAACGCTGGATACAAAAATGGTGTTAACACCTTCAACATAAGATATGCAAAGAACATGCTGGAAATGGTTGTTTTTATAACTCCCTACCTTCTCGATATCTCTTTCGCACAGAAACTTTTTTTTAGAAATACGATTGTGAATTGGAAACGAGTGCACACTCGATTGTCTCCGCATGCCCTCAGACAGAAACTTCCCAAACATCACTTAAGAATGAGGGTGAAAACTTTTACATGATTAACAAGGAATACCAAGAGATTGGATCAGCGTCACAAGCTATGTACATAGTGAGTCTCTGCTGTATGTATTTGGAGTCATCACAGTTAGGACTTTAACACTAGCTCGCCCTCAAGGGAGCAGTTTTTTTGAAAATAGCATTGATGTGTATGTAGATGTATGATGTTATAGGCAGGAACCGCATGGTTCGAAGAGATTACAAAAAATGGCATCAACCAAAATATAGACTTCACGCAATTCTTCGCCAATAAGAAACCTACTGTGTACCATTGGTCGCAGGTACGTAAACACAGCACAACCCTTCGCTTTTCTTACGCTTTTATTTTCTAGATGGTTTGGGCAAAAACGTATAAAATCGGAAGCGAGATAGGAGACTGCGATGGCAAAACCATCGTAGTGTGCCGTTACAGTCCGAAGTAAGCATAGACCTCAGCATAGTATTATGCAGTTTATAGCAATGCAACGTGCTGATTTAGAGGAAATGTGGTGGGAGAAAAAGTTTACCAGCCCGGTCGAGAACTGACTTGCGAGAATGGAGTATCTCAAGGGTATCCCAAACTCTGTGCGTATCCTCTATAAGTTTGTGAAGCGAATAAATCTTTTGCATTATGTTTTTTGTATTCAACATTACCGAAAATATATGCTAGTTGATCATTCTTATGGTATGCTTGGGAAAAAAATAACGGCGCCTCTATATAGAGTTTGAAGTTACTGTTAGTACAAATCACCTACACTCATATCACAAACGGGCAAAAAAATTCGTTTTTCAGAAATTGAAAATGAAAAAACAAAATTGATAACATATTAATGAGCGTTTTCCCAAACTTTTTTCAAGCTTTACATCGGGGTCAGCCTTTCAGAGAATCACCAGCTGATTTAGGCCCTCGGCATACTTTACCCGACTTCAGTCACGAAGCGAACCGGCAATACTCTAATTATTAAAATTCATCGTAAGGGGTTTCTGATGTTTGGGAGATAGAGCATTCTATCACCCTACAATAGTTATTAATGCTGCGCATGCTGCAGTTATCTGCCCGTATTGAACTTGAAGAAATCTGGCACCCTGTCTTGGCGCGGCGACTGAAATTGCGTGAGGTATGCCCACAGAAGATATTAGGTTGTCTCATAATTAATGCACGTTTTTATTTGCTTGCTTTAACAAAGCAACCAGACTCAACCTAACAAAGGGTAAGGGGTACTGTTCGATAGAGCAAAGCAAGCTCTACAAGATGGCACTCATGCCTTTGCGCCATGCTCGATCCACGGAGAGTTCGAACTCAAAATCTAAAGATTTCCAAATGCCCAAAAAGTCGAAAAAAATCAGATCTTCGTCCAAATAATTTCTACGGACCTCCCACTCGCTCATATCAATACTATCGATATCTGATATCCATATGTGCGATTGCCGTATTTTTTCCTTGACTAGAAACTGAAAAAACGAAAATTTCCCTGAATTTCTCAAAGCAATGCTGAGCCGTTTTTGCATATGTAGTTCTATACTACAAGCCTACGTAAGTATAACTGTAGGTTTTCAGCCCATTCCAAGCTTTAGTTCAAAAAGTTTTTTAAGTAGTTTTCGAAAAATAACAAATTCGGATTTTTTCGTTTCAGTTTCAGTGCTAAAATCGACATTTCTCGAAAAGTGCCGCTCGAAATAGGCTGAAAACCTACAGTTATGCTTACCTAGGCTTGTAATATAGAACTACATATGCAAAAACGGCTCAGCATTGCTTTGAGAAATTCAAGGAAATTTTCGTTTTCTCAGTTTCTAGTCAAGGAAAAAATACGGCAATCGCACATATGGATATCAGATATCGATAGTATTGATGTGAGCGAGTGGGAGGTCCGTAGAAATTATTTGGAGGAAGATCTGATTTTTTTCGATTTTTTGGGCATTTGGAAGTCTTTAGACTTTGACTTCGAACTCTCCGTGGATCGAGCATGGCGCAAAGACATAAGTGCCATCTTGTAGAGCTTGCTTTGCTCTATCGAACAGTACTTCTTACCCTTTGTTAGGTTGAGTCTGGTTGCTTTGTTAAAGCAAGCAAATAAAAACGTGCATTAATTATGAGACAACCTAATATATAGACAAAACGTCAGTCAAGTAAAGAGATGCTGATCCCCGTGTAAAGCCCAAGCACATTTCAAAGCAACTTTCTTCTACCAAAACTCTTACTTGAAACAAATTTAACATACCATTAAAAAGCTCTTTGATGCTTAATTTAGCGAGGTCAAAATGGATTTTTAGTTAGCGCATATAATGGCGCTCTTTTGAAAATTTGGCCACTATATGTGACAGAAATTGCCTGCCTACATTAAGCACATTCAAATATTTTCTTATATATTTAGACAAGATTTCGGCACTTAGGATAGATGAGGCATCCTGTCGGTATTTCTTGTAAAAACATTTAGAAGTTCAGTATGCAGAAAATCGGAAATTTACATGATTTGAGACTTTGAGACCTACTGAAAAATGTTGAATGTTTGAGAGCTACCTTGTAGAACTTTTGCTCAATGGGCCTATTTGGTCAAGGCTTATGTCACAGCCTGACACTTATTTATTTTTGAATTTGAAACCCATGTTCTCTGTTAGCGACACAGATACTTCAGAGTTTTACAATCACATTCATTACTATTCATTGTTTCTGTGAAAACGCACATTTTTGCGCTTGACCTGCATTTGGCGAGAAAGTTGCAGAGTTTGAAACATTTTTGCGACTGCTGTACGTTCACATTATTCTCTTGCGTCTACATTATTCTCTTGCTTGATGCTAATAGAGACAACATGCTATTTTATGAGCAATGCCTGCCGTTCACCCCACGTAAGCAAACTTCCCCATGCTCGTTGATACCATTGCTGGCACAATTCTTTGCATACGTCAAGTTCTTTTTCAAAAGCCAAATTAAACTTGAATTCTGAAAAGCTGAGACCGAGTACTTCTATCCACTGGTTTTTTTGATCACTGTTACAGACGTTGATCTGTAACTACTAAGGCTATAATCCCACTCTGCAATTGTGAAATACTCTGGCACCTATTAGCACTGAAGTATATGTTCATGCGTAGTCTGTCGCATCACTTTGACTAAAGCTTTCGATTTTTATTGCATCGAATCACAATAAGATTCTTAAGCAGTACAAAAGCTCAGAAAATAGGTGGTTATCGCGTTTGTAAGTGCCCTCTCGAGGATTATCGGCGAACTCAGCATTTTCCTAAAATGCAAATAAACCTTGAAAACTCGAATAGTCATGGGTGCAGAAGCAATTTGAGGAAGGATGTCTGGTGAACTGCTATAGCACAATTGTCACAAAATGATTTTCTTGTTTTACTTTGTGCAAAGGTTTTTACCACCTACCTAGTTTCAACTTTGGATACGAGCTAAGAAGGTTCTCGCATGCTTTCTTATCCTTGCGGAGTTTTTCAAAATCTTTCTGAAGCCTGGAAAAAAACATAAATAGTACAAAGACCTTATTAAACTACAAAAGTCGATCACTTTTGAGCGTGCGATCCATTTTTCTTCATCTCCGTCAATGCATAATAAATAATCTGAATAAAAATATCGTTTTGGAGAACACGGGCCTAGCACATTAAAATGCTCTCAGCGCTTGATGTACGAAATATACATGTATCAACGACGGCTACTTTTTAGCCCATTAGTCATCATTGCTTACATTGATAGCAAACCCTTGAGCAGGCTTCATAAGCTTTGTCAACTTCATGTTCATTGTTTTTATCTTGTTTGCAATAGCTTTGTTCATCTTGAGAGCTTCCGCTGTCTAAAAAAATAGCCCGCTTTTAAATTTTGGACCGAACCAGCTCTAAGAGATCAGAAACAAATTTAAACTTTTCCGCGTTCAAGTACGGCCTTCTTGTATTCTTCAAATTCAGCATCACTAAATTCGGTCAAATCTTTAAAAGCATCCGTTGCACCTGAAAAATTTCTGACTTTTTAGGATGGATCAAACAACGGGAAAGTTCACTGCACTTTACTTTTGTATGTTGGAGCAGAGACTGTCTCCATGAACGAGGACAGTAGAACTAGCGTAGCCGCGAGGGTGAGGAACATTCTGAATCAGGTAGCTATCAGTTTAGCCTTTGGATGGACCGGAAGACAAGGATAGTGTTGAAGTTGTAAGACTGCTCTAATATTATGCGATTGAAGTTTTTATATCAGCTTGCTGTAAGCTACTTCAAATATTCAAAAATTATGCTAACACGCATCAAAACCACTTAGCCTCTTCTGTTTTATGTAAATGTATAAACCAAGAATTTGAAGAAAAGCCGTGCTTAACACTTGACAAAAAGTATTTCTTAAATACCGTAGCTGATCACGTGAACGCAAAAGTAATTACTTCTTGCACTATCGTATAATACTCGGTATTGAAAAATTAACCATTTCTGCATTTTATTGAACACAGCAACAATCGATGGTAACAGCTGATTTAAGTAAAAATTGCACGCTCATTTTCTCACAGTTGCATCAAAACTCCCATACAAAAGCTTTTATACCCTTCAAAATCCTGTAAGGACGAAGATATTGCAAATTATATGCGTGGCGGTTCAACTAAGGGAATATTCCGAAAACAATGTAGTAGATTCGGGGACAAGTCCATAATTATTGCCACCTTTGAAGTGCTCGATACTCACGCTAATTTGGGAGTCTATAAAGTGATGCGTTTTATGACCCTCAGCTCTAAAAAGTTACTTTTACTGTTTTGCCTCAAGCACTTACCCTTTAATCGTGACCTAGTTAAGGCTAGAGAACGATCAGAGAGCACGAGCGCAAGAGAGAGGTCGACTGAAAGTTTGAAGAAGCGCGACATTGCGTTTAGATCGCTGCCGGAATGGAGTCAAACAGCCTGAAATCAGGATTTTGAAATTTTCAAACGTTTTCAGGTAGCGTAGGAGACCCTGGTTCCAAATATTCGAGCTATAATTTCACATGTTTGGTTGAAGGAAGTTATGGTGGTGCGGCGATACCAACGCGGCAATGCGTTTACACCGCCAATAGTCCAAAAAAGGATCTTTGTGAAGAAATTTTGGAGCTTTCGAAAACAGTTTTGGAATGCAAGGAGACGTTGTTCTCAAATATCCAGGCTAGAGTGTAATTGGTCAAATTTCGAGCAAGCTATCGCAGTGCGATACTTTCGGCGTTTTCGGCGCGACAACGCGTTTATATCGTAGGATTTCAAGGAGGCCGTGTTGGTACTGTATGTCTCTATAAAAATAGAGGCTTGCTATTTGCACGCCCTGACAATGTCCTCCACTCCTTGACTTAGAGCCAGAAAGAGAATGGCCAAATATCAAAGTGGCCGCATTTGTTCTTGTCATATAATTTTAAATGTTCTGGAGTGCTAATCCCAATATTCTCTTTATCTGCTGAATAACTTCCTCGTTGTGTCAAACGTTTGCAAAAACATAATTTGCAAGAATAACTTTCTCTTAATCAAATTCGTGGTATTCGAAATATTTTTGAATACTCAGTTTTTGTCTTTTCCAATGTAAGATTTCTGCTAGAATGAGTTCGATCTACTCAGACTGTTCGGATTTGATTCAGTGTCAAGCTATCATCCAATGACAAACTAAAACCGCTTGAAGAATTTACTGATTGGAACGCATTTTGCAGCATTTGGAGGGGTCAAGATTTCACATCTTAAAAACTCTACTTTTTTTAGTTATTCTCTTGCCAGAAGTTTGATTGAAATGAATGCCACTGCCAAGCATTCAGCTACTTTTTACAATTAATATTTTTTGAAAAGAATGAATCGAATGACGCCTTCTGGGAACGACGTTCGATAATTTTCACATAAGTTGGATTTTCAATTTGAAGGTGAGAAAAACTGACAGCTACTTGGGTACAGAAGTCTGCAAAAAATGAAAATTTTATTCATTCCACTCAAAGGAAAGGAGTTTTCTAGTAAAGGCAATATCTGACCAAATTTGTAATGTACGAAGATAAGTAACAATATTTTATAGTGCAGCCAAGTATATCACAGAAAAGGAAATGCACTATCACAAAAAAATGTAAGACAAAGCTATCCGCAAGCAGAAAGTGTAACCAAGGAATGCAATATTTACCAAGAGAAAAAATTCCACTGTGATAAAAAGGATTGGCAATTTTTGAAGTTGCGCTACGGACTGTACAAATAGTTGTTGAGAAGGCAGTGATAAATGATATAAATGTAGTAAAGCAAAGTATAAAAGCATTGGTTCCATGGATATGTAAAAAAGGCCCTTCTTCAAATATATTCTATTTTCCTGGGCATCCGCGAGACTTACAGCCGACGTTGAGCTTAAAATTTCCGAGCATCATGTAGCTGTTGCCCCATCTATCCTGTTGGAGGCCGCCACTAAAAACAGAACAAAATTTGAAAATTAGTCTCCAGCCTTTCATAAACAACGTAGGCAACATATTAATAATGCTTTGAAAATTAGGTAAACCTCGTTTCAAAAATGCTCAAAAAATTAATCAATTTACAACATGCTCTTCGCTATGTATATCAAAGTAAATTTATAACACATTTAGGATATCAATTCAAGCGATTACCGACGCTTCTCGAAAAGAATAGATTATATAACCAAGATCAAAAATAAATCTATTAGGTCGTCCCAAAAGTAAACTCCATTTTGAATAACTTGAGATTTTTTTTGACAGATTTAGTCATAGGGTACCATTCGGTAGAACCTAACAAGCTCTACAAAAAGACTGTCCAAGATCTTCACCTAATTGACCCAGGTAAAATTTGAAGCCAAAAATCAAAATTTTGCAATTACCCTAAAAATCGGATCTCTTTCCACAGGATTCCTACGGTCTTCCGACTTTGTTTTTATATAGTAGACACATAGTAGTACCTAAAAATGTATTTGGCGGATTATTTTCGGGGCTCAAAATTGAGAAACAAAGGCGGTCCCAAAATGCAAAATGCCACTTTTTTCGGGTTTTTCATGTACAACGTGGTATTTCTCGAATATAAGAGTACAAACAGGGGTGAAATTTCACGCTTATACTTAGTAAGGTTTGTATTATACAATCGCATATGTGAGAGGGGCTAGGGCGGAGTTTGCCATTTTTGGACAATTTTTGTTTCTCGCTTTCTATGCTCGGAAAAAAATCCAGTAAAGGCATATTTGTGTACTAATACCTGCCTGCTTTATAGTGACCAAGTTGTAGACCAGTTGAGTTTTTCTTCGCAAAAATCCAGTTTTAGGTGACAAAATTTTTTTCGATTTTGGATTCAAACTTTACGTGGAAGGCGACTTAGGCGACATTTGGCAGTCGTTTTGTGGAGCTTGATCTGCTATATCGAATGATACCCTAGATATATTAATAACACAAAAAGAAAATTATTCAAAAAAGGAGTTTACTTTTGGGACAACCTAATAGATTCGAGTACCCGCTCTATCAATACTGGCGACCAAAATTCGAAGAATCACCTTTGGATATTTCTGTGGATCCGCATTTATCTGTGCCAAAAAAGCGCAAAATTTCCTTCCTCTATTTTTGTGTTAAAGCAAAAGATTCCATTCAAATTGAAGAAAGTACGGGAAATGGGCAAAACTCAAGGAAGCTTACGCTGCAGGTTGCTGGTAATAGCTGCCGGTACCATAACCGGAATAGTAATTATTATAGTAGCCATAAGACGGATAGCGCTGATACTGAGGATACTGTGATTGATAGTATCCACCATAACTAGGCTGCATATTGTAGTAACTACCGTATGAACCATAGGTAGGATAAGTAGTGGAATACTGTAGGTAATTGTAGCCTTGTGGGTAATAGTAGCCCTGGCTTTGTGCAGCGTAACCGTAACCGTAAGGATAAGTTTGCCTTTTAGTCCTCGTATCAGGTTGCAGGTCCTGTGGAGGAATATGTCGTTTAGCCCGTATAACGGCAGCAGATTCTGGGATCAGTGCAAAAGCTACGAGCAATGGGAGCAAAAAGATCCCCATCATTACCGAGTGGTTCGCGGAAACGGTAGGCGTGACTTATATAGTTTGATACGTACCGAAACTGGTTTCGCTCCCGGTCACTGCTAATCGTTGGGTACAAAATGTTCACATTGCGTACAATCATTCCACGCCTTATCTGATCATCCTCCGAAAGGCTTGGAGAACTTTGCGAATAAGGAGCCCACAGGGAATGATATCATGCTAGTAAGAATAACAAGTTACTAAAGATATCCGTCAGTCCACGACAGATCTCGGACGCGGTATTCTTGCATAAACTAGGCGTTGATTTAATGGGCAATTTTATTGGTGTCTAGCTCAATTACTCGTTTTCTTACCGGTTACGGAATAGACTAGGTTAATGGTTTTATAAAGTGGTCATAAAATATGCGCCGAATGCCTGTTTGCAAGGATATCACGATTTGTTTGATTGCTAATCAAAGAAATAAACGCTTGTGAGATCACCTCAGAAATGTCAATAGGACATATTTTGATTTTCGCAATATCTTTGATCTGAAATTTGCACAGCAATGCTAAGTACCAGCTGCATTCGTAGTCTACCTAAACCAAGGTCCTTCTATTGATTTGGAAAACGATACAGTACGGATCATAGCTTGTTGAAAACAACAGCGAAATGCGCTTCGTCAAAAGTCGCCATATCCGGAAAAGACAAATTGTGAATTCAAAGGCACCGTACTCAAACGCCGCGCATCTTGTGATATATAGGTCACAGTTTGGGTACGGTAGATATACGATAGGCGGTCAATTGCCTCGTTCTCACAAATATTTATGCTTACAACATGCTTGTTGCTTGTTTTATGCTTGCTATTACCGTATGTTACTTATTGTGACGACTACAATTCGTCACTTGCTGGTGAAGCCGTATCCAGACAAGCCGTATCTTCACATTCAGAAGAAGTGCCTCGTCGATTGTCAAGCTGGATTGAATAGTTGATTTGTGCATTTGGGTTTGCATTTACCCACTCTGAACCGAATAAAGATGCGACGGAAATTTCGCAAAACCCTGAGAGTTTTCCTGATTCTTTTAATCATAGTCTGAATCGCAGCACTGCTAAACCTACGTGCGGCACAACTAATAAAACTATACCGCTCCAGTTTTGCTTTCCACCTTCTTTTCGCCCTTCCTCTCTTCCAATAAAGAAGGATTGAGTAAACAACTGCTCCTAATAGTATGCTATAGTTCCAAATAAAAAACACAAATCACTTGCCTCTCCCTCCTCCTCCTCGCCCTTTCCGAGTGTATCGTGTATAGGATACTTCATATTAGGTAACAAGATAATCAAAGCGAAATTTAGCTTTTCAATCGGTTTTCCTTAGTTGCAAAGTATTTTAAGATTTTTTTTCCAATACATGGCCTACATTTCTTATTTTGAAAGTACAGAAGGTGGACAAGTCCACTAAGTTGTCAGTGATGCCCGTTACTGCCTAGCCAAGGAAAATTTGCAGCAACCGCGCAAATTAATGTTTGATAAAGGATGTACGTCCCTAAGTAAGTAAAGGACTAAAGAAATTTCCTGGACGGAGACACGAATATCTATTTTGCTTTTTTCGGTCCTTTGAGACTTTTTAGCTTCCATTTTTCGACTTCGCGTGCAATAACTTCGTGCAAAAACTATAGTGCTGCTTGGTTGAGCTTGCTTTGCGCTACCGAATGTTACCCAATACATGTCTACGGGGTTTGGTTGCGATGACACAACAAAAATATAAAAAGCGCCATTCTTTTTTTTTTTCAACCTAGATACCTTGCCCTAGGTGATGAGGTAATCTTTTGCGTCCGTTGACATACCACCACCGTAGCGACAGTACTCAAGGGCGGGGGGGGGGAGCATTGAGACAGCAACAAAAAGGGGAAGGGGGGGGGGGGTCGTAACCAGCGATCATGTGTCACACCTCTTGCTTGACCCTGATCATAATTAGAAGAATCGGGAAAACTCTCAGGGGTTTGCGCATCTTTACTCGGTTGAATGGAGTGGATGAATTCAAACCCAAAGGTACAAATCAACTATTCAACCCAGCTTGACGGTCGACACTTCTTCCAAAATATGTAAAGGTACCTGTCTGAGTACGGTTCCGCTAGCAATTAACGTACGTCGGATCATTTCTTATGATGATGGGTGTCACTGCGCATGCTGTTCACGTTCGGAGTGCCCATCCCGGATTTTTGAGGAGGCAAGCTTTTGAGTCAGTGTTTTCAGTATGTTTTCAGTCTTTTTTTCCTTTTCAAACACTACTCACCTCATAGTGATGTAAGCGATGAAAAACCTCCAGAATCTTGGGTTTTTGAAATTGCGAATCCAGGATGGGGACGCCACAAATGGACGGTGTGCACAAATGCACATGTTCATATAATTCGACTATGTGCGAGTTGTAGTCGGCAAACTGAGTAACCTGTGTAAACAGCTTAGGTGGACTAAGAAAGCAGCTGGTACTTAGCATACTGTGCAAATCAGTTTGGAATGGCAGACTCATGAAAAGTTCAGATCAAAGGTAATGCGAAAATAAGCTAAAAATGTTTCATAAGCACCCAAACTGGATCTCTCCAACGATTTCTAATACAAAAATCTATGTAGTCAGAATTTCTAAGATGATCTCACAAACGTCCATTTCTTGGATTAGCAATAGAACAATCAACTGTGATATTGTTATGACTGCTTTAAAAAATCATTAGCCTAATTTCTTCCAAAACCGGTAAGAAAACAAGTAACTGACCTGGACTACCATTAAATTGCCCATTTCGCCTAGTTTATGCAAGCGATATGGCGTCCGAGATCTGTTCTTTATTACGGATATCTTCACTGACTTGTTATTCTTACAAGCATGATATCATTCCATGGGGCTCCTCATTCGCAACGTTCTCGAAGATTTTTCGTCGAGGGTGAGCAGATAAAACGTGTAATGGCTGTACGCAAAGTACAGGAACAGTACGTAGGGAACATTTTGTACCCGATGATCAGGGACCGGGAGCGGATTCAGTTATAGTACACTCACGTATGAAACTATATAAGTTACGCCTACCGTTTCCGCGAACCACTCAGTGATAATGGGGAACTTTTTGCTCCCATTTGTCGTAGCTTTTGCTCTGGTCCCAGAATCTGCTGCCATAATACGGGCTAAACGCTATATTCCTTCACAAGATCTGCAAAATGATACCAGGAATAAGAGACAAACTTATCCTTACGGCTACGGTTATGCCGCACAAGGCCGAGGCTACTATTACCCACAGTATTCTGCTACTTATCCTACCTATGGTTCATACGGTAGTTACTACAATATGCAGCCCAGTTATGGTGGATATGGATACTATCAATCACAGTATCCTCAGTATCAGTGCTATCCGTATTATGGCTACTATAATAATTACTATTCCTGTTATGGTACTGGCAGCTATTACCAGCAACCTGCAGGGTAAGCTTACCTTAGAGTTCTAAGCAGACCATGTGATATGTCTATTAGGTTGATGCATAATTTTCAAATCAAAGTTTTGTTCCGTTACTTTTCCCAATTGAAATTAAATCTTTTGCTCTAACACAAAATAGTCAAAGGAAATGAACTTTTTGCAAAGATAAAAGCTGATCAACAAAAATTTCCAAAAGGTGATCTTTAGAATTTTGGTCGTAAAATTGGTGAAGTGCGTACTCGAATCTAAATTTATTTTTGATCTTGGTTTTATAACCTACTATTTTCGTGGAGCTGGTAGTAATCAAATGTCTCTACGCTTCTTTGTATTTCGACTTTTTTCAGTTCAAGCTATTAATTTTGTCTTGAATTGATATCCTAAAATGTATGTATTGTATAAATGTATAAAATGCTAGCTCTAATTAACATGGCAAAGAGCATATTGCGTAGATTCATTAGTTTGTTTAAGCATTTTCAAAATGAAATTTTCCTATTTTTTGGACGCATGACTTGTGCATCAATCTAATAATATTTTGTATGTTGTCCATGAAATTTCTATGACCAATTTTTTTTTAACTTGCTCAATTTTTTTTAGAGGCGGCCTCCAACGGGATAGATGGGACAACAACTACATGATGCTTGGAAATCTCAAACTCAAAGTCGCCTGCAAATCTCGCGGATGTCCAGGAGAATAGAATATTATTAAAAGAAGAGCCTTTTACATATCTATGGAACCAATGCTTTTATACTTTGCTTTATTACATTTATATCATTTACATTTATACATTTACATTTTTACATTTATATCATTTATCACTGCATTCTCAACAACTATTTGTACAGTCTGTAGCGCAGCTTCAAATCATTTTTATCACAGTGGAATTTTTTTCTCTTGGTAAATAGTGCTCCCCTTCTGGTTACACTTTTTACTTGCCGAAAAACTTTGTCTTACTTTTTTTTTGAACTAGTGCGTTTCCTTTTCCGTCATATACTTGGTTGCACTATAAAATTCTAATTACTGCTATTTGATTTCCTTTTGAACTTACAGTATTTTAGCCTAGTTACCCCCTCTTACGACCCCCTTCCACCCATCTTAACTGTCCTCTTCACGCTCCCGTTGCGGCAGTCGGATCATCACACGCTTGACCTTACCTGGAACCCGCAAAAGTGCTATCAAACCACGTCCACCTCGAGCTCCGCCCACTTAGGCACTGAAAGTACCCTGCGCTTTTAGGATAATTCACTGTTTGCTCATTTAATAGGTTCACCGATTTTGAAGAAATAGCGATGCACTTATTCCTCGATCATACAATGTTTTTGAGCTATACATATTCATGTATCGCGCAGTGTTAGAGGCAGAGTTCAAAATTTCGCCCTTTATGTTTTTGCCATTCTGAGGGTCTTTCCGCGGCCGTGATTACAGTCATAAAGCTCAAAATGTGCACATAAAATTAAGAAACGACATTAGGGAACATCCTGAAACATCCTGAAAGCGCAGGGCACTTTCAGTACCTGAGTGGGCGGAGCTTGAGGTGGTGAGGTGTTTTATAGCGCTTTTGCGGGTTCCAGGCAAGGTCAAGCGTGTGATCCTCCGAACGGCCGTGATTACAGTCATAAAGCTCAAAATGTGCACATAAAATTAAGAAACGACATTAGGGAACGTCTATCCTAAAAGAGCAGGGTACTTTCAGTACCTAAGTGGGCGGAGCTCGAGGTGGGCGTGGTTTGATAGCACTTTTGCGGGTTCCAGGCAAGGTCAAGCGTGTGATCCGACTGCCGCAACGGGAGTGTGAAGAGAACAGCTAAGATGGGGGAAGGGGGATCGTAAGAGAGGGGTATTTTCGCTAAAATACCGCTTGAAAGGAAATTAAATAGCAGATAATTAGAACATGTTCTTTACAATAAATTTATAGAAAAGTAGAAATCAGAATAATAAAGATAAAAATTCTCTAAAAACTCTCAAATCACCTTTTTCAAGAGCTCATACCCACTTTAAAGGATGCATGATTCGATAAGAAAGCTAAATGTACCAATGGAATAAAAATCTTACTTTCGAAGGCCCCCTGAGGTCTCACACGCTCGACAAAAGTGAATATCTTCACCAACGATGACCATCAATAATTTTCAAATTTTTTTGTGATGTTTTTCACGGGCTCGTATATTTATCTATACTTCAGAAATGCTCTGCTACATTTGTGCAAAATCTGGATTTATTTCATGGCTTGTAAAATTTGCTATAATTTTATGTATCGACAAATAATGAAATAAGAAGTCGTATCTGCGCTGCATCTAAATTTTTCATAGCTATGGGAGGTTCACCGCAAATCGCATTATTATGACACCATCCTCCTAATTTCTACCCTGAGCATTTCAGGCTGTTTCGTTGCTTCTCCAGTGAGTTACAAAATTTTGTGCTCAATCCAGTTCTTGGTTTTCAAGACCGCAATTAAATTTGCTAGAGTCGCATCTCAGCCTCTCAGCCTTTCCCCGACTTTAGTTACGAATTTCCAAAGTGTTTTGGAAAGCGCTAAAATGTTTGCTTGTTTTGTTCGGAAGAGAACTTGTGCGAAAAATGAAATAGGTAAATTTCCTAGTGGTTTCCACCAGTCTTCTAAAAAAAAATGTTCGAAGAAAAGACTGCCGGGGCTATATGTCGCCGATAGGCTCCACCCCGCGTAGACACCGGTACCCGCTATGTGTGTAACAGAGGTGGATAGTCGGAGCCGATTCTCCGCATACCTTCACTTTTGAGCTGGTACAGGGTAACCACCTTCACTTTTGGGTTTGAAAATTTTTTTTGCTAAAGCTCAAAAGAAGGAAAATAAGCAAAAGGAATGTAAAAGAAAGTACTAAGAGCATATATTTATGTAGTAGGTCGATCCAGGCAGTAACCGCCGAGAACCAGGATTTCGAATGATAAAATAATGAAAAATAGTGAAGAATCAATCCACTGTTACAAATCTGCTGGCTGAAGACCTCCGCAGTTGCGACTTCATTTTGAAGGGTAAGTGTTGTTCTACCAGATAGTGAAAAAATCAGTTTGATTCGAGGAGTGGCCGCCGAGAACGAAAATTTTGAAAACCCTTGAAAATCTTCTCAATTTTAGGTTGCTTAATGACAACTGACATTTAAACTCTTATAAATCCGGACTTTGAAGGTGTATGATGTTGCGACTTCTAGGTTTTGTAGGGTGAGGTTTGCCCTATCAGAATATGTCTTAACTGTACCGATCCATTGAAACATCGCCGAGATCCAGGCTCTTAAAAAAGCGGGTAAAAAACCGTTTTCAGCTCATAACTTCTCCAGAACTGCATGAATCATGTTGAGACCTCATAGGTTAGATTCTCCTCTTCAAGAGCTTTCAGATGATATGTAATATGTGGGGGATTCAATGTTTCTTGCGGCTCTAACCCGGGGTGGAGTACTCCTCTTCACTAATTCTCCACCCCGCCCATTTCAATGTATTGGCGGGAGGCCGCCAGTGGAGAATTAGTGAAGAAAGGTACTCCACCCCCGGGCATATGCCGTGGGAGGCGTGAATCCCCCACATATTAAATATTATTTGAAAGTTCTTGATGAGGAGAATCCAACATATGAAGTCGCAACATGAATTATGCAATCCTGAAGAAGTTATAAGCTGAAAAACGGTTTTTCACTTGCTTTTTTAACACTAAGAGCCTGGATCTCGGCGATGTTTCAATGGATCGGTACAGCTAAGACATATTCTGATAGGGCAAACCTCACCCTACAAAACCTATGAAGTCGCAACATTACACACCTTCAAAGTCCGGATTTATAAGAGTTTAAATGTCAGTTGTCATTAAGCAACCTAAAATTGAGAAGATTTTTAAGGTTTTTCAAAATTCTCGTTCTCGGCGGCCACTCCTCAAATCAAACTGATTTTTTCACTATCTGGTAGAACAACACTTACCCTTCAAAACCTATGAAGTCGCAACTGCGGAGGTCTTCAGCAGATTTGTAACAGTGGAATGATTTTTCACGATTTTTCCCCATCGCACCTCTGGTGTGTAGCCGCTGGAGCTGCGTACTTTGTCGCAGATGTCCGCGTGGGACTACCATCTTACGGCGACATATAATCCTCCACCCGAACGCACCACTCCCTGCAGGACCCTCTACCGGTGGCGCCTTCACCGGAGAGTGTGAGTGGCGGTTGTGGTGGCGTTTCGCCAAGCACCTGCGCGTTCATGCGCGCAGTTCAAGAGCAGAGAGCGTACGGCCTATGCATCTAAAGACAGCTTGATGAAGTGTGTCGAGAAAATCTAAAAAAATCTTTTCCCTGAAGTTAAACAATAAGATTCCACGTTTGCGCTCACATGATGAATGATATATGAAAGAAGCTGTATTTTGCATCAGACTCGGAATGTTTGATTGATTTATACGCTGGTTTGTCGTTAAGAAGAGGCGCTAAATGGTTTTGATGTGTGCTAAGTAGTTTCAATGTGTTTTAGTATAATTTTGGTATCAAAAGTGGCTTTTAGGTTTCATATGGAAACCACATTTTCCCGATATCAGAGAGTCTTGCACTCTTCGTCACCAATTTTGTCTTTCGTCCATCCAAAGTTGTGTAACTGATAGCTAACCGATCCAAAATGCTTATCCTTACCGCAGCTAGGTACTCTTGCTTTCTTCGTTTACTAAGACAATCTGCGCTCTTACAAAAGTACAGTACAGTGAGTCTTCTCGTTTAGCTTGAAAAAGTTTGCAGGTGCTGCGAAAGCTGTGAAAGCTATGACCCAGATAAGTGACGCAGAGCTTCCTGCATTTGAGAAGGCTATGAATAAATACGGAATTAAAGACCCGAAGAATAATGTACTGTATACGTAGAGTTCCAAAAAATGTGTTGGATACTCCACAATAATTTCTTATCCAAACTGCTTTCGCTATCTTTAAGTACCATATTTTAGGGTAGCCTTAATTTACGATAGGAAACGGATAATGATCCCTCATGTTATTGTAGGATTCAAGTACTCCAGATATGAGCTATTTCAGTCTCCCTGATCTCAGCTCAAAAGTTATGACAGGTACACCTTTTCGGTTTTTCAGCAACTATTAAACTTGAATACCACCTTCACTGCTCCACAAACATGAACAAGCTAATTAGAATTAGTTGGTCTAAAAACTCCACCACAAAGAGTTGCAGAAGTCTTAGAATTCTTTTCACACAGTTGGTTTGCAAGCAACGTCTGCCTGGAGTTTCTACTGTAAATTTACACTAGTGAAGTAGCGAAAAACGATTTATTTCCTCAAATATGGGTGATCCATATAGTAAGTCCTTTAAATTTTGAAAATAATCCTACAATATGTTGCTTGAAAAAAGGCACCGAAGGCATTTATTCAGAAGAGTTATTAGGATCAAGCATTTGACACATTTTCAAACATTTGAATTTTTTCCAATTTTATTTTGCCCAAAATATAACAACTTATGATTTAGGGATATTTGCACCTGCTCAAATCGAACAAAACTCTTTACGACAAAGTAAAGGCATTTGACACCTTCGTGAAATAACTGGAAATCATTGTGTAATGGCGTGTGATATGTTCTTCACAGTGCATTCCTCCTAAGGATTTTCCTGCACCCATAATAATTCCCTTTTCAATCTGTTCATTTTCATTTTCAGGATAATGCTGAATTCGGCGCTGCTCTGAGGGAAGAGTCTTATGCATATAAATCAGA